TTGTGCCACATGGCTGTGTGCCACAGTTGGCACCCCAAAGGTGAGGCTGTTCTCATGTCCCACTGAGTGCTTGTTTGCTCGTGGGTCTCTTTTGTCACGTGCTTTCCACCTGTACATGAAACATTGAACGTGTATATTCAGCAGTTCCTTAAAATTGAGTGTTATCTGTGAGAGAAATGGGTATTTAACGAAGTTCTGCTAGTGCCATTCCTCTTAGAGGCGTTGGTTGATTATTTCCTGTTTTTGTACCAAAGCTATAATGGAGACGTATCGCTTTAAAACACTTCCAAAATGTGCAGAAGTGCAACAATAGTGGTGACCTCAGAGAACAAGGTCACACCCAGGCTCGTTTCCTGTTTTGTTCTTGGGGAAACTGGGCCTGTGAAATGCTGGAGAGCCCAGGGTTACATATGTGTGTGCTCTGAAACCCAGGCAGCTGCTTGCCTGTGGTACAAAACAAAATTGTGATAACAAACTCATACAGAACAATTCCGTTACGGTTTCTAATCTTATTTTTTAAATGCTAATGATTTTTTTTTTGTTAAATTAATCATTATTCTGCTCCTTTCTGAAAAATCTATGGTGTTTCTCCCAACCAATGTAAAGTGGCACCTTTCAAAAGTGTGCATTAAAGCTACAAAAGGGAAGGAGGCTCTTTGGGGAGGTTTGGAAGAGAGAAATAGGAAGAGAAAGATACAAAGTGACATGTTTGCATGTCCTATGCGTTGTTATTTCAAATTATGCCTGCTTGGATTTAAGCGTATTTAGTTTATTGATGCAAAAACTCCTTGGAAAATTGAGTGTCAGGTAGGTGAAAAGCATGTGTGGTCTTCTCCATTCATGGCTTTGAGGAGACAGAAATGAATGAGCTGAACTGTGTAGGTCTCTAGTATTGTTGCTAGATGAGGAAATATTCTGTAGAATGCTTCTTTGGCGCATCCCAGATACACAAACTATTGCTCTGTGTGTGCTACCAGAGCTCAGCTTTGGAGAGAGAATCCTGCTGTCTGCCACTGCTGAGCAGCATGCTGTGCATGGGCTGTCAGCAGTGACAGGGTGCAGGCAGGTAGCTGGAGCTGTGTAAGTGATTTCAGTGTGTGGAAGTTCAATGAGGCCTGGATTTGTGTGTTAGCAGTGTAACTCACTTGAGAGAGAGCTGCAGTATTTCTTGGTGCCATTTTCCTATATTTAGTGAAGTGTTAGCAGTAGTAAGCATTCCTTATGCTTAGCCACCTGTGTGATCACTAGCAGGGGTGATTGCATGGAAGTGAATCGTGAAGCCTCCTGCCTTGCTTTCTGCTGCTCTATATTTACTGCGTGTGAGATCCTCAGCATATGCATTGAAAAATGGAGAACTGATATGTATAGCTGAGCACTTCAGTTCTGAAGGACTGGTTTTTGGTGCAGACTGCAGTTATCGCTTGAATGATCCTTTAGTTGGTAGCTTTTTAGACTCCAGGCGGTCAGACTGTTCTTTTTCTGAGTCTCCTTAGTTGAATTATATCTGATACAAAAATAGCAGTGCTTTGTTGTGGGGAGGAGTGTGTTTACACTCCTCTGCTCATTTTTTTCTCCTTTCTATATGGTGATTTTACATGGGAACAAGCTAAATGAAGATATTTTTTAAAGAAACCAAATTACTTATGATCCTCATGTATAAACTGTAATCTTCTCTGGACAGAAATAACTCTGCTTTGCAGCACTGAAGGCTCCTGTCATTCCATGCCCGACTGTTCAGCAACCTGCCAAGTGTCAGCTGCTTCCAGAGCTGCATCGTGCTCTGCTCCTGAGTCAGCAGCGTTCTGGCCGGCAGCACTGGGTTCCCTCTGGCACACGGAGCTCCCCTGGTCTCACTCAGGCTGTGCTCACCTGCTGCTCCAGGCGGCTCCTGACCACGGCACACTGTGTCCTTGGGTGCGTTTGGAAAGAGTTTTCGTAGAGAAAAAGATAGCATTTGAGTCAACGTGCTACAGAGAAAGTACTTTCAAGATGAGAACTTGGGTAATTTGCCTCTACCTGCTAGCAGAACAAAGAATTAAGCTGTTAGGCCGCTGAGTCAGGATGAAGGATAATTTGTCTCTGGAGCACTCAGGCTTGCTGGTGGCTTTTGTGACACGGGATGTGCTGTGTAATAGCAGTTAATTATTTTGCCTTGAGAGGTGGCAGTTTATTTTGGTGTCGCTCAATTCATTGATCTGTATTCTCCAAGGAAGCCCACAGGGAGCAAAGCTGAGC